GACAGAGGGATAATAGAATAGGAAAAACAAAAAAATCTCCCTTTATTCTTTTAATATTCTTTTTTGGAAGTGAACACTTTTTCCAATTTAATGTGTACTCAGAGATTTTTGTACTGCATTTAGTTTTGTATATTTTTATTAACATAAATATGCCTACACAGTTAGAACAATGTAATGTTAAGTCTTGCTCTGCTGTGTTCTATAATAATGCAGGTATATCATACTTTACTTAATTATTTCCTTACTGGTGGGACATTCAGCAAGCCAATTGTTGATCTGTAAGTAACTCAACTGTAGTTACTAGGAAATATAGTCCATTGGTGATTCTATAGGCTGAATTAGCTCTACTAAAGACTAATTTTTTTAAAAGCCTGTCTATAAATTAAAAATATCAGCTGAACTTACATCTAGTTTGACTTTGACATATAGAAACAACTATGTTATTTCTATTTAAATTTAATGAAAAAAATAAACCAAGGGAAAATTAATCCAAGGTAAAAACAATATTCCATTTCTAAAAAGTTACCTATAGTTTTTAAGGTTATATGCTTTGTTGCTAAACCCCACTATAGATATAGAGATCACAGGATTATAATCTGTTCTTTTCTCAACAACAACAAAAAGAAACAAAACAAAACTCTGCAACTTTCCTGATCTTAAGTTAGAATTAGTAAATGATCAAACTCTTTGTATCCAGGTATCACCTAGAATTACTTATAGAAGAATTAGAAGGGGGAAGTTTTGCTCTAACTAGTGAGCAACTGCTTTCTTTTCCTCTGCTAATAAATTACAGGCAGACCTGAACAGATGTCAGGTTGGCATTCAAAACCTAAAATATAGCTGAAAAGCAAGTTATGACTAATACAAGGAAAAAAAGATGAATGTCAAAGAGCTTCATTCCCCCCCCCCTCCCTTTTTATTTTTTTTCAAATTTCAGATAAGCTCTTTAGCCTTAGGGTTCCTTTTACAGAGCCCTGGAGTTCTGCTAGATGTCTTAACCCCCATTTAAATTGCAATCTCTCCTCATGAGTGGGGGTGTGAAAATGCATTTTAAGAGTGTGAGTGTTTATGTTAATCTTAGCAAGAACTCCCTTTCTCCCAAATATGGCCTGCACAAAACCTTGGTGCCCTTTCTTCCACTATGTTTGATTTGCACTATTCTTAGCATGTGAAAGATGTCTGCATGTGATTGAAAGGCTCCTTATCTTCTCAGCGGCTCTGCTTCATAGAGGAATTGCAGTTTCACTTATGATATCAGAAAAGACTTGCTTTCCTCTTGAATTTCAAAAGAAACCTTTAAAATACAGATTGAAAATGGGCTTAAAAAGGGAGGCACAGGGAAACAGGAACCAAAAGAAAAACAAAAACAAAAACACAAAAAGCAAAAACCCACAGCATCAATGTCAAAGAATGGGGACAGAAGACCATAGCAAGGGGCTTTCCTTCCTGCTAGGTGGCCTGGACATCCTGAGCCCACAATGTGAGGCTGAGGCCCCTACATTCTTTCCCTCACACTCTTCTGCTGAAGTTCCTTTCTTTAGGTAGAAGCTAAACTATTCCCAAGATTATACTTAGAGATGCTGACTAATTCTTCTGTAATTATTCCAGTGTTTATTGAAAAGCCTTTGTTTGCTTTGACATTTACAGTTTAGAGATTACTGTTAGAGATGCTGAAAAATGAAGTATCTTTGCAAAAACTCCATCTCTGTCAACAAAAGAGCTGCAAGGAAAATAAGGCAGTTTATCATTTATCCTAAACATCTTCTAGTGAGTGCATTAAATGCTAAGTATGGGTCTCATTTTCTTTGCTAATCTTTTCCACTCTTTCTATAATTTTCACTACAGTTATACAAAAGGGTTTCAATTTAATATGTCCGTTTATATTATGTATAATTTGTTGCCAGTATTTTCACATGCTTCATCGAAGTGCTTCCTCACACTGGGATGACAAGAAAGAAATAAGCAAATGGTTATGCTGATTAAACAACAAAAACAAAAGTCTAAACTGATATTTCACCTAAGAAATCCCTTTGCCCATTTCTACAAAACTTGTATGCTTATCAAGCCTTATGTTTCTTTCTTTTTCCTTGAAGGGTTTCTTTGATTTTTAAAGTTACTTAAGTACTCAAAAGAGACACTAGGAGATTGGAAACTTACAGTTAAAATATCATCACCATATTCTTCTGTATGTACCTAAACCATATTTTCAATTTTGAAATGAAAACATGAAGTTGTACAAGCAAAAGGAAAGAACTATATTACCTGAAGCGTAATTACCAGGCTCATAAACACAACTGCAGGAGAAAAATTATAAAATTATTACTTTGAAAAAAATTATTACTTTGCTAATTTAAAAAAATTGATAAATGTAAACAAAAAAATCTACTTAGTTAAGATTCCTGTTTACAAAGCAGACTGAACTCCTGACTCCATGGAAAAGACAGTAATTTGCTTTCAACCCCAAAATAGAAATCCCTATTTAAAAAGCCTCATAACCTACATATTCTCTTCTAGCCATTTTTCTCATTTGATTTAACTTGATCATAACCCCACTGTGCAATCAAAACCCCAAACCATACCATTCCATTAAGATAACAAAGAGTAGGGGGGGATCAATTTTGTTCCTACCTAGTAGGGTAAAAGAATACAGGTTAAGCATAAAAAGAACTTGTATAATTTTATTTATATTTTTACTTTTTTTTTTATTCATATTTTTACTTTTATACACTTTTATTAAGTCCATTGAAAAATTTATAACCACATGTGCCTGGACTACAACAAAGTATTTTACTGTCTAATTCCTCCAGTATAATTCAAAGGAAAAGAAGCCTCTACTGGATAATAGGGAATGACTTATGCAGAGCAAGAGAATTATTTCTCATGCAAAACCATAAAAAAAAATGTTGCTTTAGTTTTTTAGATACTAATTCAGAATAAAGAAAATAGTATTGTTGTTGTTATTGTTGTTTTTTCAATTTGGCTCAAAAGCCAAAGTAGTTTTAAAAAGCAAACTGGAAAAATATGTTTCTGGAGAGAAGTGACTTCTTAAAAGGGACAAAATTAATTTTTGTCTAATTAAATTAGTATAAACATATTAGAGAAAAATGAAATCCATAAGAAAGGTTCTAGGGCTGTGGGTATGGCTTTAAGTGGTGGAGCACTTTCCTAACAAGTGTAAGGCTCTGAATTCTAAACCCCAGTACTGTAAGAGACCCATGGGCAGGGGTGAGATGTGAGTGGGGCAGGGAAGGAAGGCAGCCCAGTGAGTACATGTGCAGGGCAGGACAAGATGGTGAGCAGGTGGCTCACTCTAGCCAATGCCACTCACAAAATTTAAATCTACAGCACTTGCTCAAAAATCACATGCACAGCAACATAAGTATACGACTATAATGCAATTCATTTAAATATAGGTATCAGGTACAGATAAAACTCACTAAGTCCAAATCTGTTTGATTTAACTTCAAACTCTCTGATAGCTGTTTAAGTCACAAACACACTGATATGAGATTTGTTCCTTTATGTACTAACTACCCAGTCTAAGACAAAGCCCCTAGAAGCTGGAAATTGCAGAACATGGAACCAGTATCTCAATAACTAAGTCCTCAGTAGCTTCCCAACAGTGAGAAGACAACTATTATAAAATTTAAAAATACAGCATACAACAGAAAGTAATTTTTCTGTTTTTTGGGTTGCAGTATAAATGATCAAAGAAATAGAATCATTAGACCCTCCCAAGTCTAAGTCCTGAAAATCAGCAAAACTTTTTCACCAGAATAACTTAGAACATTTGGAATCATCCTTTTAACTTTGTTCTTTTACCTAACATGTATTTAAACAGTATCTCCATATCTATATGAAAAAGCTTTCTAAATTTATTGTGCCTCAAAATACACATTACCGAAACTGAACTACCACATTTTTTTCCACTATTTTCCAAATTAGATTTCTGTTTTTTATGTACGTGGCCTTTTGTATCTGTTAGATAAAAAGTATGTTATTGCTATTTTGAGGTGTATAAAGTCAGGTGATGAGGGTCTCTGTCATTTTCTCTTAATCCAATTCTAAACTCGACCTTTATCCAGTGAACAGGTGTGTGCCATGTCGGTAATTTATCAGAGTGAGCAACCAGGCAGAAAAGCTACCAACAATAGGAGACTAGTATGATCAAGTACTTGTGCCTGGAAAGCAGCTCTTATCCCCACCATGATGAATATACTTTTATCTTTCCCCAGCAATTTAAAAAGAAGGACTGATGAGGGTAAGGGGAGTAATACATTCATATTTCTTTAGCTTCTTGGATCCTGTTTTTACACTAATAGTCTGCCTGAGCGGTTAGTTTCTAAATTCCTTTCTCAGATATTCGGCTGCTCACATTCCAACCTAACAAATGATATGGATATGAAAACAGTCATGACAGTATTTCCATTGAACAAATAAGGTCGCTTTACACAGATAAATAAGCCTTCAAGAAGAAAGTGATAAATGAATACAGCATTTCTCTGTCTGCAATATGGAAACTCCCATATATATCCTACATTTTGTCATTTAGGATCAAACATCTAATTTAAAAGTTTGCCAGGTATCTACTTACTATGTCTGAAGTTGACTAATTGTGGAATGCAATAATACAACAAAAAGCAACAAGAGCATCAAATATTAGAACAGGGTTCACAAACTACTCAGCAGGTAAATCTGAGCCACAGAGGAAAACTTTAGAATTGGGTAAAATTTATAAACACGCTCCATAGAAAAATATTGTAAATTAGCTAACTAAATAAACTAGAGAAACCACAAATTTTATTTCTAATATTTCCCTATAAAAGTTAAATATTTTGAAAGTTTTTCAGAAAACTTCTGTTTTTTAAAAAGAACTTAAAACTGAAAAATATATTGGTAAGCTTGAAAAAATAATCAAAACTACTAAAAAGAGATTTTTTCATTCATTATTTGTTTTAAACAATACAAGCTTTTATTAAAATTTCTATTTTTAAACTTACCCATCTGTTCCACAATCTCTGGAGGAAATACCCGAGAAGCAAATGCTCGTCGAAAAATATCTGAAAATTCTTTGTCCAGACCTCCTATTCCCATTTTTTCAAAGTTCCAGTCAGGATTGATGATAGATTGGCGATTTTCCTTAGTTTTAGCTTTACCTAAGTTAAACAAATATAAATAAATACGAAATAAGAACTTCATTATTCAGTGTAAAAAGACAGATATTCCCTGGCATCCTAAATGAATAAAGACAAGTTACCCTTATACAAAGATGGGCAACATATTCTTGACTGATTTTCAAATAAGAAGGGTAAGACTGCCTTATCTACTTTGGTCCCCAATTAGGGTCAATTTTCAAATTGACAAACTAAATTTATGCTGTACTCTGTTTGCAATCAAGCCACAGAACTTAGTTTCACAAAATGTAATCTAACCAATTAAATAGCTTAGGTGATTAGAAGAAACTCCATATGCATATGTGATGAAAATTACACTAGTTGTCAGAAATCTAGCAGTCTCTCAAGATCCCAGCAAAAATATTTTTAAAAAACAACAACATATATTTATCTGGAGTAAGCTTAGAATTGGGCATCTAACCCCTCAGCCTAAGAAGATGTGCTTAATTTTATGTCTTATTTGCCTTTTCTTCACATGAACATAAAAGGCTTTAATTATTTCATGATTCTTGTTTAAAATTCTATCACAAAGATAAAAACGATCCAATTTAAATGTAGAGTGCCACCTAAAGTCACTGAAGAGAAATACATCTACTATTTCACACAAAGGACAAGATACACTATACTCTGAACCAAAAAAGTGAAAATACAGTTTTATAAAGTCAGGGAAGAATAATATCCCATTAAAAAAAAATTAGATGGTGATTTTATGGTTAGAGGTTTGTGGACTTAAGATTTCCTTTAGAAGTCAATAAAAAATATTTTGCTTACACTCCACTGCCCCCTTGTGGCTAAACTTACTACATGCCTAACTACCACAGAACTGCATACCAAAAATCACATCTTGGAAATACCTATGCTGTATGAAATTTGCACAATTTCTTTAGGATAAAGTATCTTAACAAAAGGCATATAAAACACAATACAATCAATTCATAAATATGCTGGGTCAATAGGAGATCAGATATTTCCAGCATCCTTTTAAAAGTTACAATTATAGGCTTTGTTTGTTTTGTTGGTCATGGGGCCTGAACTCTGGGCCTAGGCACTGTCCCTCAGCTCTACCACTTGAGCCACAGAGCCACTTCCAGCTTTTTCTGCTTATATGGTGCTGAGGAATCAAACCCAGGGCCTCATGCATGCAAGGCAAGCACTCTACCACTGAGCCACCTTCTCAGCCCCATTTATAGGTATTAATAATTATAGAGGTACGTTTGAGATGCCTCAGTTTGTAAAAAAAAAAGGAAATTATAAAACAATATAAAACTAAAATAAAATTTTAGAATAGGCTGTTTTTTAGTGAATGTCTGTGCATATTTTATACATAAGGGGGAAAATGGTGAGTGTGGTAACTCACACTGTAATCCAGCATTGGGGTGGGGGGATGGGGATGGAGGCAGGAGAATTCAGAGTATCAGGCTAGACTGGGTTACATAAGACATAAGACATATATGACAAATAATATAAGATAAATAATATCTAATATAAATAATAAATAATATATAAGACAAATAATATGATATATATATAAGACAAATAAATAAACAAAAAACAGTAAAAGGGAATGGCAACTTATGGAATAAGGCAAAAGTCCACATACTGAAACAAAGTTAAGTAATTCAGACACAAACCTCTAATTTCTAGGAAGTAGAATTCTATAAATAGAATTGTTCTATAAATAGAATTGTTACCTAGTTACTGATATCATTTTGGAGGGTTACTATTCCTAGACATTATACCTGATTATTTTAGCATAATGAAAACAAGGCTAAGGCACATAATTATGGCTCAACTGAACCTTTCAGAAAGATTTTACCTGCACCTTCATCAGTTGATCACTCATAGAATGGTGATAATCTCATGTAATGTAACAACCAGTAATGAACATTTTATAAAATAAGGTCATAAGATAATGAATTCTGGGGCTGGGAAGGTGGCTCAGCGGTAGAGTGCTTGCCTTGCATACATGAGGCCATAGGTTCGATTCCTCAGCACCACATAAGCAGAAAAAAAAAGCCAGAAGTGGTGCTATGCTCCAGTGGTAGAGCGCTAGCCTTGAGCTGAAGAGCTGAGGGATAGCGCCCAGACCCAGAGTTCAGGCCCCATGACTGGCAAAAAAAAAGATAATGAACTCTGAGGACCTGTCAAATACTGGGGAAGATACAGGCAGAACAGCTAAATGCAAAATGGGATGATCCCAGATGAGATGCCAGAGCAGAAAAAAAAGAACATAATGGGAGAACTGCTGAAATCCAAATAAAGTCTGTGGATTGGTTAGATGCAATGACATCATGGTAATTATCTTTTTTTTTTTCTGACTTTTTTTTTTTGCCAGTCATGGACCTGAACTCTGGGCCTGGGCGCTGTCCCTTAGCTCTTCAGCTCAAGGCAAGCGCTCTACCGCTTGAGCCACAGTGCCACTTCTGGCTTTTTCTGTTTATGTGTTGCTCAGGAATCGAACCCAGGGCCTCATGCATGCAAGGCAAGCACTCTACCACTGAGCCACCTTCCCAGCCCCCATGGTAATAGCTTAACTTCACATCAAGGGAAGCAAGTTAAGCATATTACAGGAATTTGCTGATCTATTTTTGTAAGTTTCCAGAGGCCTAAAATTATCTTAAAATTTAAAGTTTAAAATTAATTTCACTGTTTCTCTTTAATTTTTTAATTTGGCTATTAGGAAATTTAAAACAATATGTGCTTCATATTTTCTTTCCACCGTTCACTACTAATCCAGATGAAGGTTTTAAAGCTTTTTATCATATCTGACAAAAGGAAATGCCCAAGGATTCTGTGACCAGCCATCTCACAGGAGGTGCCTATCCCCTTTGGAACTTCAGAATCACTTTCATTGAGTAAAGTGTAACAACAGAGAATTCCAACCCGATGTAGGATCTTCTAAAAACTGTAAGTCTTACCAATAAGATTGAGTGATGAATTTTCTGCCTTTTCAAATGCAACTTGACTGTTTCCAACAACCAGCCCTACTTCAATCTGCACAGAAAGATAAATATTAATATTAGTAAGCTAATATTTCTGGGCTTCTCAAAGCAAGGCTAAAAATGAAGAGAAAATTAACTCACTCTGTGCAAAAAGGAAACCTTCCCCATCAGTCACCTATGCTACATTTTGTCCTATAACAACCACATTCCATAATTCCTATGTGCTTTATTTCAAGGCCTATACCTATCCAATAATGGCTGATTTGTTTATTAAAATAAACATGAAAAGACAATTACGGGTATATGTACAAATTCCAAATTATTATTAAAAGTTATACATATTAAAAAGTTATGTTTTAAGAACTATGTTGGCTATAAAAATATTTTTTCTCTCTACTATCTTAGAAAGAGAAAGTATACAATATGAAAAAATAGCAGGAGAACGATTAGAAGATATTAACTTGTATAATTCATATCATTAAATTAGGAATAAAGCAAACTGTACCTTCTGTCTTTTACCCGTTGCAGGCTCTCCCTTCAGAATGCTGGGATCCATGGCTTCAATATCCTTCACCAGTAAGCCAAAAAGCTTTTCATTAAAGCTAAATACAAGCTATATAGAAAACAGGTTAAGGGGAGAAAAATTACCTCATGATTTAAATAGTTTGAATCTTATCTCAACACCAACATTTTTCAAACACAGAAAACGAGTTTTCTCCTGTATATCCCTCTCAATCTCCTCCATTAAGCACATCATTCACATGGAAGAGGTAAATAACATGCTAGGTACTGAAGAATCTGCAAGGTACTGAAAACTACAGGTGGTTACCTAATTAATCCTCACAAACACTCTTGCAAACAGAAATGGAGATCCAGAAAGAAGCAGTGAGTGACATTACAGTAGTCAAACCTGGATTTTTAACTCCAAATTTAAGGCTTTTCTATGCACTGCATAAAACACCTGTACTACAAGTGCAGAGATGGCTCAAATGCTCATTCATTCTCTATACCTTCAAAAGCAAGTCCCTTGGGGCTGGGAAGGTGGCTCAGTGGTAGAGCGCTTGCCTCCCATGCATGAGGCCCTAGGTTCGATTCCTCAGCACCACATAAGCAGAAAAAGCTGGAAGTGGCACTATGGCTCAAGTGGTAGAGCGCTAGCCTTGAGCTGAAGAGCTGAGGGGCAGTGCCCAGGCCGAGAGTTCAGGCCCCACGACCAACAAAAAAAAGAAAAGAAAAGAAAAATCTGGAAGTGGCACTGTGGCTCAAGTGGTAGAGCTCTCACCTTGAGCTGAAGAGATCAGGGACAGCACTCAGGCCCAGAGTTCGAGCCCCAACCCCCTTCCTCCCCCAAAAAAAGCAAGGCCCTCTTTCAGGTATTGGGATAGAATATAAAGTATCAGTCCTACCACCATTATCTCCCATAAAAGATAGTAGATACTAAGAAGAGTGGTTTCGGTAAGATACTTCTTTATATTCTGGAGTGTTTTATTTCATGTGCTTATCTATATATGCATGTTATTATATAAATTTAACTTATTTAAGTCATGTAATTACAATTCTTTAAATTTAAATTATTACACATACCAAGACAGTTACATTTAATTATTTAAATAATTTAACACTTACATTTAAATATTTAAATATAAATATTAAATTATTTAAATCATTATAAATTATTAAAGTATTATAAATACCAAGGCATTTACCTCTAAACATCATTGCTTTTCTTTTCTTTTCTTTTTTTTTGCCCAAGACCAGGAGTCAAACTGGGTACCAGATACTTTCACTTTTACTCTACTAATGGAGCCATGCCTCCAACCCTTATTTCCTTTAAGCATTTTCTTTCTTTTTTTGTGCTGGTCCTGGGGCTTATACTCAAGGCTTGGGCACTCTACCATTTGAATTATAAGTCCACTTCCAGCTCCTTTTTTTTTTTTTTTTTTTTTTTTTGGTGTTTTTTGTTGGAGAGAAGAGTCTTTAATCAATTAAAATTTCCTGCCCAGGCTGACTTCAAACCATGATGCTCAGATACCAGCCTCCTGAATAGCTAGGATTACAGGTATAAGCCACCAGCCTCCAGCTACTTTAAGCATTTTCTATTAAGATACTAAACCTAAAGGCAAATGTACAATCTGAATAATGTGATTCATGCATCAAAAAATGCAAGAATCAAGAAGTAACATAGAAATAGCTCAAAAAACAGATGGGAAAATCAACAAATTATCAGCTAGGCTAAATGACACTTTCTAGAACACCTGTTACAAAACGATACTGCTGCAGCTCTAGTACACATCTAGCTTTACATACATCAGACAATATTATAGCACATGGCATTTCTTTTTTCAGTTTTCTGTCTTCCTCAACTAGAAAGTAAGGTCTATGAAGACTAGGGATTGTATAAATTTGGTTCACTACTGAGTGCCTAGAAGAGTGGGTGGTAAATCCTTCATCCTATTAAGTATTTGTTTAATTAATTTTTTGTTGTTTAATTCTTGTCTCAGCTATGTCCTTGATTGTATCCATGAATGCTTAATTTGCTTTCTCTGGACCTAAAATCTTTACTTGTGTGTAAGGAGGTTGGTCAAGATATCTTCTAGGTTCATTCCAATCCTGGTACTATCTTTTACAATACATAATTTTCTTTTTCTGACTGTCAGTAAGTTTCTACTTGCAAAAATTTGAAATTATGATGTATGGGTTACCTAGATCATTAGATTCTTATTCTTCTAGATTTATTAGTTAGAAGAATAAAGCAAAACAACAGTACTTCCACTTCTATTGTCTAGCCTTTACCACTCCTCTTTTTTTTCCCTCTCGGTTGTGGGGCCTGAACTCGGCCGGGATGCTGTCCCTCAGCTCTTCAGCTCAAGGCTAGTGCTCTACCACTTAAGACACAGCCCACTTTCAGTTTTCTGGTGGTTAATTGGAGGTAAGAGTCTCATAGACTTTCCTGCCTGGGCTGACTTTGAAGCTGGATCCTCAGATCTCAGTTTCCTGAGTAGCTAGGATTACAGACATAAACCACCACATCCGGCAACCACTGTTCTTAACTGCCACCTTTACTACCTCCCTGTGAGTGACTACATGAGCAGCTAGGCATATCCTTAGCAATCTGAATCCTGGAGAACACTTGGGTCTCAGGATCCCATTCTGTATTCTTAAGAAGTTTTGAGGACCCCCAAAGAAATTTTATTTATATGGATTAGATCTATTAATGTTCACTTTTAGTGTGTGTGTGTGTGTGTGTGTGTGTGTGTGTGTACATATATATTTTGGGAAGGGAGGTTGTTTGGTTGTGGGGCTTGAACTCAGGCTTGGGTACTGTCCCTGAGCTCTTTTGTTCAAGGCTACTGCTCTACCACTTCTGGTTTTCTGTTTTTTTGTTTGGTTGGTCATGGGGCTTGAACTCTGGGCCTGGGCGCTGTCCCTCAGCTCTTCAGCTCAAGGGGAGCACTCTACCACTTGAGCTACAGCGCCACTTCCGGTTTTCTGGTGGTTTATTGGAGATAGGAGTCTCACGGCCTCTCCTGCCTGGGCTGGCTTTGAACCGCGATCCTCAGATCTCAGCCTCCTGAGTAGCTAGGATTACAGGCGTGAGCCACCAGCGCCCGGCCCACTTCTGGTTTTCTGGTGGTTAACTGGAGATAAGAGTCTCATGGACTCTCCTGCCCAGGCTGGCTTTGAACCTCAATCCTCACATTTCAGCCTCCTGAGTACCTAGGATTACAGGCATGAGACACTGATGCCCAGCTCACTCTTTTTCTTTAAAGCAAGATAGCAAGTTTGTTTTTTTGTTTTTTGGCACTCAAGGGGCTTGAACTCAGGCACTTGTCCCTGAGCTTTTTTGCTCAAAGCTACCATTCTACCACTTAGAGACACAGCTCCATTTCCACTTTTTAACTGGAAGTAAAAATCTCATGACCTTTCCTGCACGTGCTGGCTTCAAACAGCCATCCTCAGATCTCAACCTTCTGAGTAGCTAGGATTACAGGTGGGAGCTACCAGTGCCTGGTAGACAAAGTATTTTTTGAAAGTGGAAAAAAAGTAGCTAGGCTTTCCAAAGAGAGGGGCTCCAAAAAAATCCTCAAATACTTTTAGTGTCTGGCTTAAGAAAATACAGCTGGGTCTGCTTCAGCAGTTAGTATGCTGTGTTAGCACAATTCAAGTAGGCTCTACAAAACTCTACTATTCACTTGTGACACATTAAGAGAAAGATGACAAATAGCACCTTGACATTATTATGAAAATCAAGTTTGGACTTCTGAGAAGGTTTCAAGTGATCTACCAGGGACTCTTGACTGCACCTTGAAAATTGCTAGTATAGTACTGTGGTATGAAGAAGGAACCAGAATAATTTAAAATGTCAAAGGTCAAACTATGGTAGAATCAGGAAGCTGAGTTAGAAGGATTTTTAGTTCAAGGCCAGTATGATATCCAGTCATAAACATTGTTCTAAGTAGTCCTAAGTAGAAGACAAAATGTTATGTAATTAATGGTAAGGTTAATGAAGCAATGACTATTTACATATGCAAACAATTTATGTAATTAACCTTTAGTAAAGTTTTAGAAGAAAAAATTTCTTTCTATGAAGTTAATAATGTGATTTAACTGAATTTTTTAAAAAAATACAGCACTGGCAAATGTTTTCAATGAAAAAAAGTTTATGTTTCAGAGGTAAGGCAACATTTAAAAAGTTGAAATACATGAATATAATTTTCTTAACATTAGCAACTCCATAAGTAAAAACATTAAGAACTACTTTTCTATAGCAATATACTAGTAAAACAAACCAGAGACAGAACAAATGTCCTACAAAAAGAAATTTCAGATGTATATGTCTGAAATTTGCAGAGGGAAAGTTTCTATAATTAGATATGACATCTTAAACTAGCACTCTACCACTTTAGCCACAACTGCACTTCCTGTTTTGGGGTAGTTAATTGGAGATAAGAGTCTCACAGACTTTTCTGCCAGGGCTGGCTTCAAACTGTGATCCTTCTATCTCAGCCTCCGGAGTAGTGAAGATTACAAACGTGAGCCACCTGTGTCCAGCTCTCCTTTGCTTTTTGTCACTCATCATCATGGATATATCTGTATGTGTAGCTCCCTAGGTTCTTCATGTTTTTTGGGGAGAGGGTGGGGGTGCCAAAACTGGTGCTTGAACTCAAGGCCTTGTCTCTTCTTGAGCCACAGCTTCATTTCCAACCACTCAGTTTGAATCAACACCTCTCTGCTAGGCAGTTGTTCTACCACTTGGGCCACACCTTTAGCTCCACTTGCAGAGAAAAGGAATGATGGGAAAGTTAAACTGACCTGCTGTCCCACTGAGAAGGCCTGGTTGTTGAATTGCTGGATAAACTCTGCTGCCATCTTGTCAGTGTCATAAGGGTTGGAATCAATGTTTTTTTTCTGCAGGAAATCAATCTCAATAGTCATTGTGCCAATACACTGTTTGGCTTTGTCAAATGTATATAAGGAAACTAGAAGGGGGAAAAAAGAAAACACTTTTAAAAATCACCAAATACCTGCTGTATTTCTACCAGCTAAAAGTTTCACATAAATGAATCGTAAGAGTAACTTCACCAAAGAAGGCTTAACATAGCCTTTAAAAACAGACTTTAAAAACATTAATAACAAAGGCTGGGCGCCGGTGGCTCACGCCTATAATCCTAGTTACTAAGGAAACTGAGATCTGAGGATGGATCAAGGTTCAAAGCCAGCCCAGGCAGGAAAGGCTGTGAGACTCCAATAAGCCACTCAGAAAACCAGAAGTGGCACTGTGGCTCAAGTAGTAGAGTGCTAGCCTTGAGCTGAAGAGCTAAGAGACAGTGCCCAGGCCCAGAGTTCTACGCCCCATGACCGGTAAAATAATAGTAATAATAATAATAATAATAACTATAGGTTTTCTTCATCTGAATTAGGTAGAATATATTGACTAGAACTCTCTTTCAACTTAATCCCTATCTTATCTGTGGCAAGATCACAGCCTACCCCACAAAGGCTCTGAACCTTCCTTCTTCTCCTTTAAGAAGACTAAGTCACTAGTGTTCAACTTTGAGCCACAGCTTCATTTCCAGTTTTCTGATGGTTAATTAGAGATAAGAGTTTCATAGCTTTTCCTACCCAGACTGGCTTCAAGCCATGATTCTCAGGTCTCAGCCTCCTGTGTAGCTAAGACTACAGGCATGAGCCACTGGCATCCAGATGATATATTATACTTGAAGTAAAATCAGGTACTAAAAGAAAATTCCCTACTGAGAAGAAGCATTCCATAGGAAATAGTCTTGATTCTTAAATCAGCCTGAAAAGTATAAACTGCTAAGGAAAAGGATGTTACATTATATTATATTGTGTTGGGATCATTAAGAAAGAGTAGAATATACTACTCAGAAGTTAGAAGGCATTTTTATACTTGAGTTTCCCAACAGTGATAATGGGACTATGTCTAGTAAAAAGTCTATGATGGCTCTTCAATAGGGCTTAATGTATATGCACTTCATTTTCCTTTGTGTATCCTCAAGATCACTGTTACTAGGGGCTTGGAATATAGCTTAGTGATGGAGTGCCTAAGACCCTGGAATTCTAGCCCAGCACTGCAAAGATTAATTAACTACACCTCTTTTTTTTTTTTTTTGCCAGTCCTTCGGTTTGAACTCAGGGCCTATGCACTGTCCCTGAGCTTCTTTTGTTCAAGGCTAGCAGTCTACCACTTGAACCATAGCGCCACTTCTGGCTTTTTCTGTTTATGTGGTAACTGAGGATTCAAACCAGAACTTCATGCATGCTAGGCAAGCACTCTACCACTAAGCCACATTCCCAGTCCCAACTATACCTTTTAATGTTACATTAGGTTTGTCTTTCTTTCCTTCCTTCTTTCCTTCCTTCCTTCCTTTCTTCCTTTCTGTTCTTTCTCTTCCTTCCTCTTTCTTTCTCTTTCTCTCTTTCTTGTTTTCTCTCTTTCTCTTTCTTTCTCTCCTTTCTTTCTCTTTCTTTCTTTCTTTCTTTCTTTTTTATGTATGGGGAGGGGGTGCCAGTCTTGGGGCTTGAACTCAGGGTCTTGGCACTGTCTCTTAGAGCTTTTTTGCTCAAGGCTAGTCTTTGGACAAGAAGTATGGTACTTCTGTAAGTTACTGTGATCAAATAGTAAAAAGCTGAACAAAAAAAAGCCACTGAAGTGTAGCTTCCAGCTAACCTACCACTATCAGGGCTTGCTGCAAAGATCCTAGTGTCTTGCAAACAAAGCTGTCTTTTTCAAAGGAAATCTGAGGCAGTTTGTTTTTAACAAGTCCTACTAGAACATAGGGGTTAATTATTTAAGCTCTCTGAGCCTTCATTTGTTACATCTGTAATCAAGACTGTACATTCTATTTGAAATATATTTCTTATATTTACCCACTTGAGTTATGTACAAACAAGTACTTCTGTTAATTCTGTTATTGTGTTGTTACATTTTTTATTTTGGCTTTTCCTGTTAAAAGGAGGGATATTTCAAATATTTCAAAAGGAAAACAACAAGACCAGTAAAGGATAGAAAGTTACTGAACATTAAACAACAAGTTTGGATCTTGGTTGGAAGTTTCAGAATACTCTCCTGCCTCCAATCCCCACTGTTCCAGAATACTCTCCTGCCTCTGATCCCCAGAGGCTTTGGGTTGTTGTTGTTTTCTTCACATATCATAGGAATTCTAGGCTACTTTTCTAGGCAACAGAGAATAGCTGTTTCTCACATAGTAGAAAACAGTTATGGATCAAAATATTAAGGTAAAAAAGGAAAAATATTAAGGTTAAAATTGGTAAATTGAAGTTAGGTGTTGGTGGCTCAGACTTGTAATCCTAGCTACTCAGGAAGCTGAGATCTAAAGATCACAGTTCAAAGCCAGCCCATGGAACAAAGTCCATGAGACTCTTATCTCCAATTAACCACCAGAAAACAGGAAGTGGCACTGTGACTCAAGTGGTAGAGCGCTAGCCTTGATCTGAAGAGCTGAGGGACAGCTCCCAGGCCCAGAGTTCAAGCCCCACAACCGAAAAAAAAAAAAAATTGGTAAATTGATTCAGCAATTTCACTTCGTGATATCTGATAATTTCATTTCCTGATGTTGCATAAAGTTTTTAACACTGGTGTAAGACAACATCTATTTGGAGATTAACTGTAGCAGCATTTGCAATAGTCAAAAGTCAAAAATTACTGATGAAAATAGGTGAACAATAAATAAAATATGGCAGAACTATAATGTATAATACTGTACAATAATATTTATTAAAATAAAAACATGATCTAGATGTAATAAAGTATACATTAAGAAAACTGAGAGAAAAAGTATAGTTCATAATTAGTTGTACAATATGATTCCCAAACAGTATCATAATAAACATACATATCTATATGTGCATTTGAATAAATGTATTAAAATATAATCATCACTGACTAGCTTCCCAATGCATTTTAATTTAATGTCAATGTGTCTTAATAGAAGACCACAATACTACAATTTCAAATGCTATGGTCAGTACCATGGACAGCACCACAGGCCACATCATGCTCAGCAATGTGGCCATGTCCAGAGACAGTAATTCTATCTTTGTTGCTTTGTATGTCCCTCCCCCATGGTATAACCCCTGCTTTCACTGTATTTGAGGTTGGTATAATTTGTGGAGGGGAAAGGAAAAAACAAATCGTTTAAATAGAGATACAGGTGGATCCATTGAAACAATGAGATGCGCAAGTCGTTATGGGGGGGGAGGAGGATTGGGTGGAGGTGAGGGGAGGATGGAAAGGGATAGGAAGGGGAAACAAAGGAGGAGGCTACAATGATTGATAAGAAATGTACTCATTATCTTGCCCATGTAATTGTAACCCCTCTGTACAGTATTTTCACAATAAAAAACTTAAAAATTAAAAAAAAATTAAACGTAGCTGGGTGCCAGTGGCTCACACCTGTAATCCCAGCTACTCAGGAGGCTGAGATCTGAGGATCATGGTTCAAAGCCAAGCCAGGCAGGAAATTCTGTGAGACTCTTATCTCCAATAAACCACCAGAAAACCAGAAGTGGCGCTGTAGCTCAAGTGGTAGATTGTTAGCCTTGAGCTGAAAAGTTGAGGGACAGTGCCCAGGCCCAGAGTTCAAGCCTGACTACCAAAATAAAAATAAAAATGAAAAAAATAAATGTATGCACATCCTTACTCTAATAGTTAGATGATACAAGTTAAATAAATTAGAACTTCCAGGCATGGGGGCACACAACTAATAATCCCAACATTCAGGAAATTGAGGAAGGGAGGATGAGTTTGAGACCAGCCTGGCCTATACAGTGAGTTCCAGGTCAGCCTGGGCTACACAGAGAAACTGTCTTAAACAATAACAAACCAAACCAAAGCAAATAATATTAGTAACATAAGCTGGATACAACCCAATTTTCTCATCAGATGTTCTGTCATGTGTTCATTTTCAGCTCTACCAATGAATGTCTGCAGATAGGGAACCCTAGCTTTCTACACTGACCTATTTCATTTGGTGCTAAACTTTCTACATTCTCGGCTTTCCACATTCTCACTGTGTTTTAGGTGAGGAAATGAGAGTTAAGAGAATCACTTATGTCAGTGTTTCCCAAAATGTGACTCCAAAGAACCACTTAAAGGTGACTGTTAAAAACAAAGAAGGGGGGGGGGAGGATGAGAAGGGATGGGAAGGGGAAACAAAGGAGGAGGCTACAATGCATGATAAGAAATGTACTCATAATCTTGCCCATGTAATTGTAACCCCTCTGTACAATATTTTCACACACACACAAAAAGACCTATGAATCAGATCCCCCAAGGGATGAGCCTGTGAATCTTTTTTTGTTTTGTTTTTTGTTTTTTTGTTGGTCAGGGTCTTGAACTCTGGGCCTGGGTGCTGTCCCTCAGCTCTTCAGCTTAAGGCTAGTGCTCTACCACTTAAGCCATAGCCCATTTCCAGTTTTCTGGTGGTTAATTAGAGATAAGAGTCTCATGGACTTTCTTGCCCAGGCTAGCTTTGAACCTCGATCCTCAGATCTCAGCCTCCTGAGTAGCTAGGATTACAGGCATGAGCCATAGGCTCCCTGCTTCCTGTGAAACTTTTTTAAAAAAATAAATTCCTCAGGTAATTTTTTTTTTTTTTTTGCCAGTCCTGGGCCTTGAACTCAGGGCCTGGGCTCTATCCCTGAGCCTCTCTTTGTGTTCAAGGCTAGCGCTCTACCACTTGAGCCAAAGCACCACTTTCTCCTCAGGCAATTTTTTTAGACAAGTTTGAAAGCATCAATTATGCAACTTACTCCATCAACTTCCCTTGTCTAAATCAATCTCATTTATTTTTCTCTCTCGTCAAAAATTTCTTCCTATTTCTGAAACAAAAAAAGGAGAGCCAACTAAAGATCACTGCAATGTTTATATTCCCTCTAACCTAGAAAAAACTTATAAGTTGCCATGCTCCTAATAAGAGATGTAGAATATTCGCAACTTTCTTTTATTTATCCTATTTTAACCGTTTAAAGCTACTATATCTTTGAATATCTTCAAAAGGATATTAGGGACCCTGGGAAGATATTTAATGTTAAAGACAGGATAGTCTTCAAAACTTTCATACAAAAAAGTCAAATCAATTACAAAGGTAAGAAAATTATACTGGAACCAGACTTCTTAAGAGCATCATACAAGAACAGACAAGTGTGATGCCTTATTTTTTAAGAAGTTTAAAGAAAGAAAAAAAGGCAATAATTTTTTTTTGCAACAATTTTTTTTGTGTGAAAATACTGTACAGAGGGGTTACAATTACATGGGCGGGATAATGAGTACATTTCTTATCAAGCATTGTAGCCTCCTCCTTTGTTTCCCCTTCCCATCCCTTCCCATCCTCCCCCCACCCTCCACTCAATCCTCCCCACCTCTCCACCCCCCCCCACCCCCGCACCAAAGTTGTAAAGTTTGTTTTCAACATAACGACTTGTACATCTCATTGTTACAATGTATCCCTATTTAAACTATTTATTTTTTCCCTTCCCCTCCACAAATTATACCGACATGAAATACAGTGAAAGCAGGGGTTATACTATGGGGGAGGGACATACAAAGCAACAAAGAAATAATCTTATAAATGTCTTAGAAACAATTGCATGAAAGAAAAAAAATTTGAATACATATCTTAGGGTTCATTTCCCACATCACTTTATCTGATCTTTTCTGCTTGACTCAGACATATACTAGATATTGCAAATAAGGGAAACCATGGGACCTATGTTTCTTTGGGCCTGGCTTACTTCACTTAATATAATTTTTTCCAAAAAAAATATGGAACGCTTCACAAATTTGCGTGTCATCCTTGCGCAGGGGCCATGTTAATCTTCTCTGTATCGTTCCAATTTTAGTATATGTGCTGCTGAAGCGAACACGGCAATAATTTTTTTTATCAAGCCAAGCTATCCTTCAACCATCAAAGATAGAGAAAAAGTTTAATGTAGGAACCCAAGAACACTGACTACACATACTTTCTGGAGTAAACAACTAGAGGATAGGCTTCATCCAACCAAGTGAAAACAGGCAAAAGGACTGATCATATGTGTAACAGATTCTCATGTTATAAGTATTAAGATTTGTAGGTGATCACATATGGTAAAATAACATGTAAATATCTATGTTTGAAAAAAGCAGAAAGAGCCAGTATAATCCTAGCTACTCATGAGGCTGAGATCTGAGGATCACAGTTCAAAGCCAGCCTGGACAGAAAAATCTGTTAGACTCTTAACTCCAATTAACCAGCAAAAAAGCTGTAAGTGGAGCTGTGGCTCAAGTGGTAGAGGGCTACTCTCGAGCAAAAGAGCTCAAGGATAGTGTCCATGCCCTGAGTTCAAGCCCTAGAACCAGCACCAAAAAAAGAAAAAAGCAGAAAGAATGCTGCTAACAAAATGGAAGAAAAAGGGAAAATATGCTCACTTTTGTATAGGTAAAAGGTAAGAGTCACAGCATTATCATTTAGAACTGACAGATTTCTTAAATGGTTAAGTAAGAATAAAGGAAGAGTCAGACACGGCTCACATCTATAATCCTGACTACTTAGTAGGCTGAGATCTGAGGTTCAAAGTTCAAAGCCAGCCTAGGCAAGAAAGTCCATGAGACTCTTATCTCCAATTAACTTCCAAAAAGCCAGAAGTAGAGCTGTGGCTCAAGTGGTAGAGCACTAGCCTTGAGCAAAAAACGCAGGGACAGAGCCCATGCCCTGAGTTCAAGTCCAAGACTGCACACACACACACACACACACACACACACACACACACACACACACTCTCTCTCTCTCTCTCTCTCTCTCTCTACAGTAGGGCTCTAAGAGAGATACAAATACAAAGTAATCACAAGGCTGATATGCTGATACTTGAGCCACAACCTGGCATTTTAATTGAAGATAAGAGTCTCTTAGATACATCTTCCTGGTCTGGCTTTGACCCTCAATCTTAATCCTCAGATCTCAGCCTCCTGAGTAACTAGGATTATACTCATGAGTCACCAGTGAATAACTTCCAGAATAAAGATATTTTGGGGGGGGGGGGGGGCACACACGAATGGTAAGGGGAATCAAAGGAGGAAAAAATAATACTTGATAAAAAATGTACTCATTATCTTGCTCGTGTAATTGTAACCCCTCTGTTTGTTATTTTCACAAATAAAAAACTTATTAATATGAAAAAATAAAGATATTTAGACACTCTCCACAGAAAATTAAGGCCAAAAATGACAGAACTTAATTAAACATCAGTTACGTCAATAATTATGAATGGTTTAATTAGCCCATTAGACAATTTTCAGATTATCTCAGAAAGCAAAACCTAATTCCATGTTATATGCAACACACACATCTAAAACTTGGTGATTCAAAAAGGTTAAAAGGGATGAAGATAAACCAAGTAGATAAAAATAGTAAAAACAAAGATTGTAATTCTTACATAAAAATATGCTGGGCAGCCGAGCGCCGTGGCTGACGCGTGTCATCTACCTACTTAGGAGGCTGAGATCTGAGGATCACAGTTTGTTTTTTAAAGCCAGCCGGGGCAGAAAAGTCCATGAGACTCTAATCTCCAATAAACCATTAGAAAACCAGAAGTGGTGCTGTGGCTCAGGAGATAGAGCGTTCACCTTGAGCTAAAGAGCAAGGGGACAGTACCCAGGCCCAGAGTTCAAGCCTTGCAACGGGGGGGGGGGGGGGGGGGGGGGGGGGGGGGGGGATATGCTGGGCATCAGTGGCTCACGCCTGTAATCCTAGCTACTCAAGAGGCTGAGATCTGAGGATCACGGTTCAAAGCCAGACTGGGCAAGAAAAGTTCATGAAGACTCTTATCTCCAATAAACCACTCAGAAAACCAGAAGTGGCATTGTAGCTCTAGTGGTAGAGCACTAGCCTTGAGCTGAAGAGCTGAGGGACAGCACCCAGGCCCAGAGTTCAAGCCCCGCAACCGAAAAAAATAGATAGATAGATACATAGATATCTCAATACATATTAAAGTATATAAAGGCTGGGAAGGTAGCTCAGTGGTAGAATGTTTGCCTAGCATGCATGAAGCTCCCCTGGGTTCGATTCCTTAACACCACATCAACAGAAAAGCCAGAAGTGGCACTGTGACTCAAGTGGTAGAGTGCTAGCCTTGTGCAAAAGAAGCTCAGGTTGCCATGCACCCGTGGCTCACACCTGTAATCCTAGCTACTCAGGAGGCTGAGATCTGAGGATCTGAGGATCCTCAGGATCTAAGAATTAGCCAGCCTGGGCAGAAAAGTCTGTGAGACTCTGATCTCCAATAAACTACTAGAAAACCGGAAATGGCTCTTGTGGCTCAAGAGGTAGAGCACTCGCCTTGAGCAGAAGAACGCAGGACAGCACCCAGGCCCAGAGTTCAAGCCCCATGACCAACAAAAAAAAAAGCAGCTCAGGGACAGTGCCCAGGCCCTGAGTTCAGGTCCCAGGATAGGCAAAAAGCAAAAAACACACACATAAAGTACATAAAACTTTATAATACTATAGGCTGCAATTCACAATAAAGCTATAACATTTATAAATATCTGTGTATCAAAAATAAAAAACCACCTGTATGAAGCAGAGAGTAAAGGAAATAAAAGGAAAAGTAAACATAAATAATAGGAAATTATAACATGCCACTCAGTGAAAGATAGGTCAAGCCAACTAAAATCAGTGAGACTATGAAAGATCTAATCAAAATAATAAAACTGATCTGATAGATACATAACAAACACAATACCCTGAAAACAGAAAATATAAGTTGTTCTCAGTTTACATGAATCATTCACAACAATCATAATTAAAATATGAGTAAGTTCTAGTATATTAATTCTAAATATTACGTTCTAAAACATTAATAAGTTTCACAAAAGATAAATATTATCAACAACAACTCTCTAATCACAATGCGATAAAAACTGCCATTTAAAGTAGAATTTAACTAGTGCAGTGGTTCAAATCTGTTATAACACCTACTCAGGAAGCATAAATAGGAAGATCACAGTCCAGGTCAGCCTATTAAAAAAAAAATGAAATCAAAAGTTGGGTGCCAGTGGCTCATGCCTGTAATACTAGCTACTCAGCAGGCTAAGACCTGGGGATTGTGGTTCAAAGCCAACCTGGGCAGGAAAGTCCATGAGACTCTACCAAAAAGATACAAGTGGCGTTGTGGCTCAAGTGGTAGAGTGCCAGCCTTGAGCAAAAAAGATCAGGGACAGTGCCAAGGCCTGAGTTCAAGTCCCAAGACTAGCACACACTACACACAACACACAACACACACACAGTCACATAGAGAGTAAAATAAAATAAAATTTCCAACTCAAAATGCCAGACAAAGAACAGCAAAGTAAACTAAAAGAACAGGAAGGGCAAGTGATATATAGCTCAATGCATGGTTAAGCTGCTTAAACTCTTCCCAACCCCTAAAGTAATAAATTGTTCTCCATGACCTTCTGTAATGAACTAAGATGAACTAATAACACAGTTATCCTTGAAAAGAGGTAATGATATAGGTAGCACAGCTATTTTCTTTCTGTTCTCATAGAATCATACTGAGTAGAATCAATGTTTAAGGCCTGATAACCAATAATAGAAAATTATATACATCCTAATAAGAAAACGTACCTTAGTTAATATGGCTAAAGAAAATACCTACCTTCTATTTCTTGCCCAATTGAAAGTCCAGCCCATTTTCGCTATAAAAGAGAAAAAAAAGACACAAATCAAGCCAATCAAAAATCAAGAAAAAAAAACAACAACAGGAATTTCAGGAAGACAGTCTAAGAGCAAGACCAAGACATATGTATGTGCGTAACTGTGCTCCTTCAAAACATAGGTTTCAAGCCCCACAACCGACATATATGTTGACATTAGGATCTGTGCATATGACTATATATACCAATAGGGTCTTTGCAGAGATGATCACACTAACATGATGTCAAACTGAATAAAAAGGGTTTTAGAACAACATGACTCTTTGTCTTTGTAACAAGAGATACAAAGACACAGGGAAAAGGCCATGAGATAAGAGAAGCAGAGCTGATTCTAGGTCAATGAACATCAGGGGTTGCCTGCAACTCCAGAGCTAAGTAAGCACGGAATAGACCCTTCCCCTAGGTCTTCAACAGAACACAGCCCTGCTGACACACTGGTTTTAGACTTCTAGCTTCCAAAACCATGAGAATGAATAAATTTCTAGTTTCTGAACATTTTTGTCTATTTCTATTTCTTTTTAAATTTGACCTGTTGCTGTGACAGTTGTCTAAAATTTCTGTCATTTTAAACCACTCAGTTTGCACTTCTTTCTTTTAGCGGACCTAGGAAAGAAGGCGGCCGCTACAGTTTCAATTTGAATACTTGTCTCAAAACATATGAAGCCTTCTTTTCCACAATAAAGCCAACCCCCAGAGTAGGATGCCTCTGTATGTAATCTAGGGCTTTGCAAGGCCTCCACTGTATCAGATATGTCAGCATTCTAAACCCCTGCTGCAGTTGGTTTTACAGTTTATTACAATACCACAAACAGAAGTGTAATTCATAAAAACTACATTACAACTAGTCATATAATCTATGTGACCATTCAGCATGGATTAAAATTGTTAGAATGTCATAACCTGCCTTCGTATACTGGCATTTTTTCACTCATATTTCAGAAATTCATAGCTACACATTAGCCTCTCCCCAATCCTGACTGTTTACAGTGGCAAGAATATACAGAGGCAAGGCAGACTGCAGTTAGGCAGGAATTCAAGGCTGCTTTGATATAGATTCAAAATTAGTAATTTAGCCATTGTTGTTAATACTCTGAGGGAAATAATTTTTGGCTGGGAACCACAGTTTGCTTACTCAACTGAATGTTGTGGATTTGAAAGATGCTGCATCATGAATACATTCAAGAACAGGTGCTCCTCTTCCAGCTTCCTCCTTCCTCTGCCCTATGGCCTCTGAAAGACCGGTTGGCACAGCTGGCCAACCTGACATTTAGCAACATGCTGGTTAAACCCAGACTTTAGGTCCTAAAGCAGCCATATTTAGGCTCCACACTGCACTCCGAAAAAATGATCAGAATAATATCCACTCATTGTTTTGAGAATTACATGAGCTAACAAATGTGAAAGTACTTTGAATAGTTCCTGGCTTAGAGAGCAACTGAGGTCAGGGAAAATACTTTTCATTTTCCTTTTTCTTTTTTTTAAATTTTTTTTTTTTTTTGGGTCCGGTCGTGGGGCCTGAACTCTGGGCCTGGGCACTGTCCCTCAGCTCTTCAGCTCAAGGCTAGCACTCTACCACTTGAGCCATAGTGCCACTTCTGGCTTTTTTCTTTTTGCGTATGTGGTGCTGGGGAATCGAACCCAGGGCCTCAGGCACGCAAGGCAAGCGCTCTACCACTGAGCCACCTTCCCAGCCCTCTTTTTCTTTTCTTTTTTTTTTTTTTTTTTTTTTCACAAAGCAGAGAAACAAGGAAAAATAGCCACTTCAAGCTACCTCTTACTACAGAAAACCCATCTGAAGCTTTGGGAGAACTGGCAAACCCTGGAATATTCCAAACTTTTAACCTGTAGAAATAAATGTGAAAAGTAGTTTTTTGGGGTTTTTTTTGGGGGGGGGGTCCGGTTGTGGGGCCTGAACTCTGGGCCTGGGCGCTGTCTCTCAGCTCTTCAGCTCAAGGCTAGGGCTCTACCACTTGAGCCACAGCGTCACTCCCGGATTTTTTCTTTTTGCTTATATGGTGCTGAGGAATCGAACCCAGGGCCTCATGCATGCAAGGCAAGTGCTCTACCACTGAGCCACCTTCCCAGCCCTGAAAGGTAGTTTTTTTTGTTTTTTTTTTTTTTTTTTGGGTCCGGTCGTGGGGCCTGAACTCTGGGCCTGGGCACTGTCCCTCAGCTCTTCAGCTCAAGGCTAGCACTCTACCACTTGAGCCACAGCGCCACTTCCGGCTTTTTTTTCTTTTTTGCTTATGTGGTGCTGAGGAATCGAACCCAGGGCCTCGAGCATGCAAGGCAAGCGCTCTACCACTGAGCCAACTTCCCAGCCCTGAAAGGTAGTTTTGATGATAGAGGAGAAAAGAGAAATAATGAAGATTTCCCACTCCCAAATGAGTGTCAGCTCTCTTTCTCTCTCCCTCCAAGAAAATAAATCAGTGCTTATTGGCACAGTAAAAAAGGAGGTAAGACTTGTCTATGCATTGTTTAGGACAGGGGAATCAGCAGAAAATGGGACACTCCTATATTATGTACTGTGCACTGGGACAGTGTTAGAGATTGTGTGAGTTCACAGAATCTACCAGTAGTTATAGTGTAGTCACAACTCTGCCAGCTGTAAAGGAGCTCAGCAAATTAGACTATATTTTGAATTTAAAAACATAACAAAACAAAAAACATTTAGCCAGGTATCAGTGGCTCACACCTGTAATCCTAGCAACTCATAAAGCTGAGATTTGGAAGATTATAGTTTGAGACCATCCCAGGCAGGAAAGTCCATGAGACTCCATCTCCTAAATACCAGCAAAAAACCAGGCTGACTATATGGCTCTAGTAACAGCGTGCCAATTGAGCAAGTACAAAGCACTGAGTTTAAATCTCAGTACTACCCCAAAAAATGTTCTTTTCATGTTCTTTAGTCTGATACTATTGCAATACAAAGCCTTTATTATTAAATATCAATTTTATAAATAAAATAGTGCTTTATGACTCTTATATTACTCTGGAAGTTAGCATTAAAATATCAGATAGCCAACTGATACTACTACAAACTTTTTAAAATAAAAAAATATACATATAAAAGCAATAAAAAAAAAATCAAAGCAGGTCTGGGAAGGTGGCTCAGTGGTAGAGTGCTTGCCTCTCATGCATGAGGCCCTAGGTTCGATTCCTCAGCACTACATAAGCAGAAAAAAGCTGGAAGTGGCACTGTGGATCAAGTTGTAGGGTGCTAGCTTTGAGCTGAAGAGCTGAGAGACAGCACCCAGGCCCAGAGTTCAGCCCCAATGACCGACAAAAAAAAAAAAAAAAAAAATCAAAGCCATCAAAGGCAGTCATAGCAAATAATGGGCAATTAAGAATACATCTTTAGCTGGGTGACAGTGGCTCACATCTGTAATCCTAGCTACTCAGGAGGCTGAGATCTGAGGATCACAGTTCAAAGCCAGCCCAGGCCAGGAAGTCTATGAAACTCTTCTTCAATTAACCACCAGAAAACCAGAAGTGGCGCTGTGGCTCAAGTGGTAGAGTGCTAGCCTTGAGCTGAAATACTCAGGGACAGCATCCAGGCCCAGAGTTCAAGCCCCACAAGTGACAAAAAAAAGAAAAAAGAATACATCTTAACCAGGGACTCACATCTGTAATCTAGGCTACTCAGGAGGCTGAGATCTAAGAACTGTGGCTTGAAGCTAGCCTGGGTAAACAAATCCATGAGACTCTCTAGCACAAAGCCAGAAGTGGAGGTGTGGCTCAAGTTGTAGAGTGCTAGCCTTGAGTAGAAAAGGCCAAGCAAGAGCTTCAGGCCCTAAGTTCAAGCCCACTATCAGCAAAATATAAAATAAAATAACACTCCTTATTGAAGTTATAGGGTGTTATTTGCTTGAAATGCATTGATTCTTCTATGACTTTTAAGAAAAGTAGCATATGAGTTACCTGAGGTAAACTGAATGCAATGCTCCCTGGAACCACTGATGGATGGGTCCTCAATGTAAATGTGTACCTGTGATTGGGAGAGGTCCTCACAATCACATGCCTAAAAGACAAAAACACAATCAGTACTACATACTGAAGGAAATGAAGAAGACAATTCTAAATGATAAGTTCAAGTTAGAAAAATGACATCAGACCACCACACATCAAGCACAATCCAGACAAGTTCAAAATAATACATCTAATCCAAAACATCATCTTCATTACATTTCAGTGTACATAAAAACCAAAGCCAGTGATTTAGAGTCCTTGATGTTGAATAAAAACTTCATGACTTTCCTCCCTTGAGAGTTATTTCCCACATTCCAACAAAGACACAATAAAGTCAGAAGACCTAGGATATCTCAGTCAAACAATAAAGTTATTTTCTAGGACTATCTATTAAATTCTTTGGCAGACACTCTCAAAGGCTGAAACAGTAACAGCCTATAAAATAAAAAGATGGTAAAAATGAAAAACTTACCCAAATATATCAGCTTTCATGTAGATGTAAATAAAGGCTATTCCAATGAATTTTGTACCAGTTCCCTACTCAGAAGCTACTCATATATAAATAAGACATAATCATCTCATGATAAATCTCTATACCAAAAATCTAACAAGAATCCAGATATCAAGGGCTCATGCCTATAATTATAGCTCTTCAGGAACCTAAGATCCAGAAAATTGCAGTTTGAAATGAACCCAGGCAGAAAAGTCTGTAAGTCTCCATCTCTAACAAAAACAAGCAAAACTTGAGCTGGAGATGCAGCTCAAGTGATAAAGGGCAACTGAGCAAGTGTAAGGCCTTGTGTTTAAAACTCTAGTACCACCACATACACTCACAAATACCCACAAACCACCTAACAAGAAATGCATGTGAGATAGATGCATATCCAGTATGGTCGGGGGAAATCAACTCCCCCTCCCACTAAAATTACATATATATATAATATATATGCCTGAGTATGTTGCCTCACTGCTATAATCCTAGCTACTATAGAGGCAGAGAATGCAAGGAATGCTGTTCAAAGTTCATGAGACTTTATCTCAACCAATAAATAGCTGTACCAGCTATTATATTATATTATATATGCCTAGCATTCCAACTATATGGGCTTAGCCACGCAAAAAGTAAAATCCTATTAAAAATATAGTAAAAGCAAAACACGTTGGAGATGTGGTTCAAGTGGCTGAGCCCAGCAAGCACAAGGCCCTGAGTTTAAACTCTACTAATGCCCCTAAAAAAGTTATATATTAAAATCTATATTTTTTTTAGTTTATCAAAGTTTGACAGTTTGCTATAACTGAACAACATACTTTTGCATTTAATCTATTTTTTCCAGCTCAGTAAGAGCAATAGAAAACAGTTCCCAAAAGTTTCTTAAAAATGACTTTTTGGAAGTTTCTAAAATACTATTGAACAGGTTAAAACATATACATATGTAAAACATATAGATACTCATACTAATACACAGTCAAAGAGATACTCACTGGCCAGACTGGAAATCCTTTTCATTCACAACTGCACAGTTTGTTAAGGATAATTCATCTGTAGGACATCGTGCAGCTTGCATACTCTATAAGAATCAATGATCAGGAAAATAAAATTAAGTCAGGCTTTGTTACCTTAAAGAATATTTTGCACCTTCCTGTTCTTTTTATCACACACATACTGTAGTAATCATCTTTGGGTTATGACTCCCAACATCCCTTCCTCTGTGGTAACAGCAACCCCTTCCCTTGGGAATCTGGCTTCCCTCATTTATCATGAGTTTGTGATACTGTAGATCACACCCTATATGCAGCTCCATACACTCCTAAGCTACAACAGGATTTCATATAAACAAGCACAGGAAGCAAACACTCTTCCTTGCTGTAGCACCAAATGGAGTAAGACTTCTACTCTAAAACACAGTAAAACTGTCAGAGAAAGTAAAAGTGACAGACACAAACTAACAGAAACATGGTAAACTCTTTGAGACCAGACCTGAAAGTTTGTAAGCCAATAAATTCTTTTATGCTCAAGCTTATTTGAACTAATTTTCAAAAAAAAATCTGGCTGATAAAAAATACAATGAACTAAATTTAAGACACTTAAGATATATTATGAAAAAGTATCTTTTTATAAGAGATCCCATATAGCTGTGAACCACATACAGATTAAGGAAAAAAAATCTATCGAACATTTCTCAACAAAAGTAATTATATTAATAATTACAAGCTATACCTAAAAAGAAAACAGCACCCCATGTCTCTTTTGGTCTATAGCTACTAGCAAAATGTTCTATTAAATAATGTGTTGGAGGGAGGACTGTTTTGATGGTGGTGGTGGGTTTTTTATTTTTTATTTTTTTTTAATGTGTGTATGTGTGCTGGTACTGGGGTTTGAATCTGGGCTTCTTCCTCTTACTTGGCTTTTCTACTCATGGCTAGTGCTCTACCACTTGAGCCACAATTTCACTTCAAGCTTTTTACTAGTTATTTGGAGATACTTGGGCTAGCCTCAAACCATCATCCTCAGATCTCAGTTTCCTGAATAGTCAAATAATGTTTTTAGTCAATAACCCTTTCATCATTCTCCAGCATTTCCTAGTGAGCTATGACATGTATAGTAATAGTCTATGAGTACAGTGTTCATTCTTCAAAGCTCAAACCAAATTTATATAAATCATTTACATTTTCTTGTCTTAAGAAGTTGTAAAAAGGTGCCAAGTTGCTGGGCACTGGTGGCTCAAGCCTGTAAATCTTAGCTATTCAGGAAGCTGAGATCTGAAGATCTGCATTTCAAAGCCATCATGGGCAGGAAAGCCTGTGAGACTCTGATCTCCAATTAACCATCAGAAAATGAAGTTATGTTGTGGCTCAAAGAGCTAGAATACTAGCCTTGAGCAAAAAGAGCTCAGGGAAAGCGCCCACACCCCAAGTTCAAGCCCCATGACAGACCAAGAAAAAAGTATAAAGTGTTGTTGGCTCATGCCTGTAATCCAAGCCACTCAGGGGGCTAAGATCTAAGGATTGTGTTTCAAAGCCAGACTGGGCAGGAAAGGCCATGATACTCCCAAAAATTAACTCCCAATTAACTCCCAAAAACAGAAGGAAAAAAAAAAAAGAGTCAGTAGTGTAGCTGTGGCTCAAATGATAAGAGTGCTAGCTATTAGCAAAAAAGCAAAGAGATAAAGCACCCAAGTCCTGAGTTCAAGCCTCAGAACCAGCACATGTGAACACATGTGCACACACGTGAACAAACAGGTTGGAAAAAGGGGGTTCAATATCAGTTTATGAGTACAATGCTTCTTGATCAATGTCACCCCTTTGACATAACTCATTTTGAATGACATTTTGCTTTGCTTTTGTTTCGTTTTTATTTTTTTAGACAGTCTCTCTCTTTATGTAGCCCAGGGTAACCTTAAACTCACAATCCTGCCTCAACCTTTGAAGTGCTGGAACTAGAGGCATTCACTCCCACACCCAAGTTTTGTTTTCATTTAAAAAGGCTAGTTTTAATATAGCTATCCCAGTTCTTTAGAGCAACGGTCTCTAAAGTAGGCTATGAGTTCTTGAAGGGTTTATAAGACAATCCTTTGGAATACAAAAATAAAATATTAGTTATTTTATTTATTGCATACCAATTTTTATTAAAGATGACTCATTATCTTATCTCAAATCCTGCCAGGCCTTTAAGTATTCATAGCATAAGATAAGCTTCTTTTTTTTTTTTTTTTGGCAGTCCTGGGGGCTTGAACTCAGGGCCTGGGCACTGTCCCTGAGTTTCTTTTGCTCAAGGCTAGCCACTCAACCACTTGAGCCAGAGCGCCACTTCCAGCTTTTTTGGTTTATGTGGTACTGAGGAATTGAACCCAGGGTTTAGTGCATGCTAGGCAAGGACTCTACCACTAAGCCACATTCCCAGCCTAAGATAAGCTTCTCTAACTTTTCCATCTATGTTTGAAGTCACAGGTGATCTTAATCTAACACTTCACTATTTATATTAAAGTTAATACCAGGGCTGAGAAGTTGGCTCAGTGGTAGAGCGCTCGCCTTGCATGCTTAAGGCCCTGGGTTTGATTTCTCAGCACCACATAAGCAAAAAGAAAAAAGTCGGAAGTGGCGCTATGGCTCAAGTGGTAGAGCACTAGCCTTGAGCTGAAGAGCTGAGGGACAGTACCCAGGCCAAGAGTTCAGGCCCCACGACCGGACCCAAAAATAAATAAATAAATAAAATAAAGTTAGTACCACAGCTCCTAAGGTATCTAGGAAAAAAGATACAAAATCATGAAGCAGAGTGATGATGGCTGAAAGGACATGGAAAACAAAACAAAATAGTGACAAGCTATTCTTCTAGTGGTAAACACAGCTAAAAGCTCTAGCAAGTCCTAGACTTGAAAATACCAGAATAAAGTATAAGGCAGGGGTTTGTGATACAGTTGGATCAAAATATAGATTTTTTTTTTTGGTCTGGGAGCAATGTTTTGAGATACTGAGAAAGGACACACTCTCAACTATAAGTGAAACAATTAGAGAAATGTAACCACTAATAGAACTATTGCTTTGACCACAATTTAACAAGGTAACATCTTATATGAAACAGTAAAGGCTTCACTAACAGGTAAACTATAGCTACCAATCAGTTCCACTGGATGAGCCTGAAGGCCTCAAGGTAACACAAAGGTTAATTTGATCCAAACAAGATCTTTACAAGACACAATTTTTCCTACACACCATAAAAAGATAGGAAATAGCTACCAAACTCCTTTTTTTTTTCTTTTTAAAAAATCGTAAGAGCCGGGCACTGGTGGCTCACAGCTGTAATCCTAGCTACTCAGGAGGCTGAGATCTGAGGATCACGGTTCAAAGCCAGCCTGGGCAGGAACATCTGTGAGACTCTCACGTCCAATAAACCGCTAGAAAACCTGAAGTGGGTCGGGCGCTGGTGGCTCACGCCTGTAATCCTAGCTACTCAGGAGGCTGAGATCTGAGGATCGCGGTTCAAAGCCAGCCCGGGCAGGAGAGACCATGAGACTCCTATCTCCAATAAACCACCAGAAAACCGGAAGTGGCACTGTAGCTCAAGTGGTAGAGCGCTCGCCTTGAGCTGAAGAGCTGAGGGACAGCGCCCAGGCCCAGAGTTCAAGCCCCACGGCCAACAAAAAAAAAAAAAAAAAGAAAACCTGAAGTGGCGCTGTGGCTCAATCGGTAGAGCGCTTGCCCTGAGCTGAAGAGCGCAGGGACAGCACCCAAGCCCAGAGTTAAAGACCCGCGACCGATCAAAAAAAAAAAAAAAAAATCACATAGAGATTCACTGGTTACTACAAGGTAAGTACTTAAAGGATTTGTTAAAATAGATGAGTTACAGAATTTTCATTTCCATTGCTAAGTAATTCTGCTACTGAAAGTAACACATATAACTTAAATCAACATTAAAAAAAAAAAAAAAAAAAAAAACCTAGTGGACTGGGAAGTTGGCTCAGTGGTAGAGCGATTGCCTTGCATGCATGAGGCCCTGGGTTCAATTTCTCAGCACCATAAGCAAAAAGAAAAAAGCCGGAAGTGGTGCTGTGGCTCAAGTGGTAGAGCACTAGCCTTGAGCTGAAGAGCTGAGGGACAGCGCCCAGGCCCAGAGTTCAGGCCCCACGACCGGACCCCAAAAAAAAAAAAAACCTAATCTCTATATGCTTAAAAAAAGTTAGAAACAGAATATTCTGCTTTTATAGCTCATCCAAAGCTGGGTGCCAGTGGCTCACGCCTGTAATTCTAGCTACTCGGGAAGCTGAGATCTGAAGATCATGGTTCAAAGCCAGCCCAGGCAGGAAAGTCCATGAGAATTTTATCTCCAATAAACCACTAGAAAACCGGAAGTGGTACTGTGGCTCAAGCGGTAGTGTGTTTGCCTTGAGCTGAAGAGCGCAGGGACAGTGCCCAAGCCCAGAGTTCAAGCCCCACGACTGACACTCAAAAAAAAAAAAAATACTCTTCAAGAGATCTATTACAAAACAATAAAACTAAGACCTAAAGAATAATGGTACCTCATTTTGCTTTATGTACTATTACTTTAAAAATATAGTATACATTTGATCTTGAGCACATTCTTTTTGTGCGTTATTACTTTGTACAGTTCTGCATAATGTTAAACTATTAAGTCATTTTACTTAATTGCATCACATACTTTTTTTTTTTTTTGGGGTCCGGTCGTGGGGCCTGAACTCTGGGCCTGGGCACTGTCCCTCAGCTCTTCAGCTCAAGGCTAGCGCCCTACCACTTGAGTCACAGCACCACTTCTGGCTTTTTTCTTTTTGCTTATGTGGTGCTGAGGAATTGAACCCAGGGCCTCATGCATGCAAGGCAAGCTCTACCACTGAGCCACCTTCCTAGCCCCATCACATACTATTTATATAAATTTTCAGTATAACAATTTATAGGGACTGGGCCCTATAAATTTATGGGCCCAGAGTTCAGGCCCCATGACTGACAAAAAAAAAAAACAATTTATAAATAACATATATTACTGAGATACAAAAACATTTTTTATTTGTGAGATTCAAAATGTCTGGAAGTTACTAATAGCACAAGATGAACAGAA